TGCCCAGGGGTAGTCTCAGCACGGAATATGGTAACGGGAGGTCATTGCGCTTGTTGTTGGATTACGGGCCTGAGGACCATGACTCGAGCAGTCCGCGGCTCACGCGGTTTTCACCCCTTGCGAGGATTTCGGCCTCTTGAAACTTGAAAATATGGCCGGATCCCGTCAACCGAGCCGCCACCTGAGATCTAACGTCTCCCCGCCTAACTGCTGTTGTGTGCTCGGCTATTCGCGTCCGGAGTAATTTCCCAGTTTCTCCGACGTAGTTGCTTTGTCCGCAATTGCACCAGATCTGGTAAACGACTCCTGACGTTTCCTGCCGTGGCAGTGGGTCTTTCGGCCTCATGACTTGGCGCCTAATGTTTGCTTCTGGCCTGTGTGCCACCCTAACTCCAACTGGAGTAAGAAGACGATGGACGGCGTCCGAGACGTTCTTCACGCACAGAAGAGCCCGCCAAAATTTGGGGCCGGTTGGACATGATCTCTGGTGTCCTTTTCGTATGCACTGGTCGACAAAGCTGATCGGGCAGCAATTAGCTCTCAGTACCCGTCGAAGATATTGTAATTCGTCACCTTTGTCTTCGGTTTCACTGCATTGCGTCTCAACGCGCCGGTATAGCGTCCGTAAGCAACTGCGTTTGTGACTGATCGGGTGGTTGCTGTTGAAGTTCAGTATTTGCGTCGTATTTGTCGCTTTCCTGAACACTTTAGTTTTTAGGCCACCACAATCTTTGCGGCAGATGAGGGCGGTCGTAGTAGGTCGCTCACCTGCTTGCCGCTGCAGACTACGCCTAGCGTCCATTTGTTGTCACCCAACTCTCACATATGGCCCTCCGAACCTAGGCTCTGCCTAGCGGCCATATCCCGGTAACCGTCTCGACTGGTGGGCTAAACCAGGTGAGGGTATCCGAGTGTGCACATCCGCACACGGTAATCCCGGCTATGCTGGCCGAATGGATCTTTGCATCGGCATCGTCGAGACGAGGCTCCGTCAGGTGCACCGCAGGAGGCCACAAACTTACGGCGATGTGAAAGGCTCTCCAGGCTAACTCGGGTCGTTCCTTGATTTCATAAAAGACGTGGCCCACAGCGCCTGACATAATTGAGCGGTCCTATTTAGGGTAAGACTACTCGCCCCCGCGAGAGGAATCGGCTAGAAGAGGTGCCCTAAACAAATGCTGGGGAACCACGCCGTCTGCAGGCTGACCGTGGTCGCAGACGTTAAACTCACGGTCGAAACATCCAACAAAAACAACAACAACAACACTCGTTCTCCTCCTTATTTTTCTTCTTCTTTCTCTACACCTGTTTCTTCTTCTCCTCCTTATCCTCCTTCTTCCCGCCACCCCACTGGTAGCGTGGGTCCCCTCACTCCAGCAGCCTGGAATGTTCGTTCCATTTTAGACAATCTGAGGAGCAACCGACCGGAACGGAGGATGGCGCTAGTGGCTCAGCAACTGGCGTGATACAACGTGGACATCGCTGCACTCAGCGAGATCCGCTTATCCGAACAAGGTCAACTGGAGGAGGTGGGTGCCGGCCACACCTTCTTCTGGAGCGGTCGCCCCATGGCAGAGAGACAGGACGCGGGCGTCGCCTTTGACACGTGGAACGACATGGTGGGACGACTGCCCCGTCTGCCGTAGGACATAAATGATCGCCTGATGAGCCTCCGCCTGCCTCTCCGGGAAGACAAATTCGCCACCATCATCAGCGTGTACGCTCCGCCGACGACCAGCCCCGACGCCGCCGCAAGAGACAAATTCTACGAGGACCTGCACGCCCTCTTGGCGATTGTGTCGAAGGCGGACAAGTTGATTGTCCTTGGCGACTTCAACGCCCGCGTCGGTAGAGGTCATGTTGCCTGGCGAGGAGCGCTAGGTCCCCATGGTCTCAACGGCTCCAATGGCGATGACCTGCTCCTCCTACAGACATGCGCATAACACCGGCTTATCTTGACTAACACTTTCTTCCGCCTCTCGATGTGAGAGAAGGCCACCTGGATGTGCCCTCGGTCGCGACACTGGCACCTAAACAATGTCCTCGTCCACAGGCGAGAGCAATGGGACGTGCTGGTGACAAAGGCGATTCCGGGTGCTGACGGGTGCGCCGACCATCGCCTCGTCATCTCGAAGATACGGATTCGCCTATAGCCTCGCAGGAGACCACAAGGAAAGCTACCTCCAGGTAAGCTGAGTATTTACTTTTTGTCTTTGCCTGTTCACGATTTCCATTTCAGCAAGGAGCTAACTCAACGACTAGCCAACCTTCCATTCGCTGCTGTCGCTGACGAGAGCGCCTCCGTGGAGAACCGATAGTTTAGACTGCGAGAGAGAGTCCAGTAGACGGCTCTGGCCGTCCTCGATCGCGCACGCTGTCAACACCAGGACTGGTTCGACAACAACGACGCCGTCATCAGCAACCTTATCGCCGAGAAGAATCGCCTGCACGAAGCCTACGTCGATCGTCCCACCGACAACAACAGAGCCGCTCTCTACCGTAGTCGCCTCCTTGCACAACAGAGGTTTCGGGTGCTACAGGACGCTTAGCCGAGGAGATCTGTGGTGAGGTACCGGACTAACTTACCTTTGACAATTTAGTCCCATTTTCTTTGACCGGATTGCTTGTTTGAATGTGACGAAAAACAACACACCTGTGCAACCCGCCTTGCTGGCCTGCTTTGCTGTCGCGCGCTTTTGTCAGGTTACTTAACGTTCAGAATATCTATATTATTCACTGCTCAGTTTTACTTGCTGTCTTCAAGGCAAAGGGCTCGTGAGATATAACCCGCTAGTTCGCGAGGACATTACTATTCACGTCATTGGTGACTCCCGACGTTAACGCAGACGTTATACCTTTCTCTGTCATACTGAATAACATTTTACGTACCCTTTGTTTGTGAATTTCTAATTCATTTACGTCTACTTTTCTAACAAATTCTGATAATTTATCATCTCTGTCTTCATTATTATGCCTCATTCCAACCAACAACTTGATACCCCGCCCATTCCCGTCATGCCATCAATTTTACCGTGCCTGAATTCTGGCAACACCCTCCAGAAGTTTACTGTATCCGTATAGAATCAGCCATTTATTCTGCTAACGTTACTAAGGAGCTGACGAAATACCACAAACTTGTGGAGGTTCTCCCCGCTAGTGTTATCTCTCAAGTACAGTCCTTGCTAGCTAATCCTCCTGCAGATGCTCCCTACTCCACGTTAAAAGCAGAAATTCTTCGACGTAATGCTGTGTCTGACCGACAGTGGTATCACCATTTTCCTAAGGAGAAGTCCCTGGGTGACCGGAAGCCCTCAGAACTCCTACATCGAATGAGTTCTGTCCTTGAAGACATGAAATTTGACGAGAAACTCGTCAAGATGTTTCTAGAGCGTCTGCTTGCAGATGTTCAAACGGTCCTGGAGTCCGGTTCTCAAGATCTCACGGTCTCACGGCTGGCTGAAATGGCGGATCGGATGATAGATGTGCAGCGGTTCCAGTCATCTTCCGTTGTTCAGATCTCCACATCCTCATCGATGGTGAATGAGCATATAAGGAACCAGGTATCGGCCATGACGGATGAGATGGCCTCGCTTAAATTACAGCTCGCACGCCTTACTTCCAGTCGCTCACGCAGCCGTCGTAGTTCCCGTTCGCGACCTTGGACTGCCGATACTTGTTAGTATCACACTAATTTCGGTGTAAAGGCCAGTCGCTCTTCCTCACCCGAAATAGGGAAACCAGTCAGCCAGAGAATAGACGCGACCGTTTCCTCTGCCTATTCCGGCTCTGGTCGCACCTTCTATGTTTGCGACACTGCGACTCACAGACGTTTCCTGTTGAATACTGGGGCCCAAATCAGCGTTGTTTCCCCAACTGCAGCCGACCGTCGTTTCCCTAGCCCTGGTCTTCGCATCCAAGCTGCCAACTGTTCCCCCATTCCCACTTTTGGCAGTCTGTCCCTCACCCTGAACATTGGCCTTCGTCGGTCATCCACTGGATATTTGTGATCGCTGAGGTCCCTCATGCAATCCTTGGCTCGGACTTTCTTGCCGAGTTCGATCTCCTTGTTGACTGCCGATGTGCCCGTCTCCTCGACCGCACAACCGGTCTGTTTGTTCGTGGACTAACTCCCTTTACTGACCCCCCCAACTTATCTGTCTTGGATACATATATTGCTAGCCCATTTCGGCAAATGCTTCTTAGACGTATTATCGGCTGCATGCAAAATCTATACTCTGCAAAAAATGACTACTTAAGTAGCATGCAAGTTTCTCATTGATTTTCGATGCCCTTGAAAATTCAATTATATTTCACGGAAAACATGCATAAAAATATTCATTCTTTTACTTATTCGGTAGGTAATCACGTCTTCTTCCAATTTCATACACAAAAGAAGAGTATAATTCGGTTTTAAAAAAGTTTCTAATTGTGAGATTTTTTAATACCGTCAAATGGCCGTTCATGAAACGTCATGTATCTGCATTTACGAATGTGGCTTGTAAAGTTAACAATATTGCTCAAATCCACTGCTTAATTTTATGAACCTCATATGGTCTCCTCTTAACACCGTAGAGAAATGCATGCAACATTGTTAACTTTACAAGCCACATTCGTAAATGCAGATACATGACGTTTCATGAACGGTCATTCAACGGTATTAAAAAATCTCACAATTAGAGACTTTTATAAAACCGAATTATACTCTTCTTTGGAGTATGAAATTGGAAAAAGACGTGATTTTCTATCGAATAAGTAAAAGAATGAATATTTTTATGTATGTTTTCCGTGAAATATAATTGAATTTTCAAGGGCATCGAAAATCAATGCGAAAATTGCATGCTACTTAAGTAGTCATTTTTTGCAGAGTATAGATTTTGCATGCAGCCGATAATACGTTCTTTCGAAAGCCGACACGCTGAGGTAACTGGATCATTATAGATTTATCCTTAATCATGATTTGTTTTACAACACTACTTAATTTATCTTTTCGAAACGAGAACGCATTTCGAAATTTTGGTTGACATTTCATGAGTTAGCACATCTACTGTAAGTAACCTCCAGTTTCGCAGTAGTGAGGTCCAACATGATGTTGTGCACCATATCCGCACTTCAGGTCCTCCTGTGTTTGCTCGGCCGAGACGACTAACGCCGGAGAGTTTCCAGGCCGCGAAGGCGGAGTTTGAACACATGCTGCAACTGGGAATAATTCGACCGTCCGAGAGCCCTTGGCCGTCCCCACTGCACAAGCTGCCCAAGACGACATAAAGTGACTGGAGACCCTGTGGCGACTATCTTGCCCTCAACAGCGCTACCATTCCTGATCGGACTTTGCTGGAGCCCTTTTCGGCAAGGCTGTTTTCTCGAAGATTGATCTGGTGCGTGCTTTTCATCAGATTTCAGTCGACCCTGAGGACATACTTAAAACAGCTGTCACTACACCCTTCGGTCTTTTCGAGTTAATTTGCATGCCGTTCGGTCTTCCTAATGTCGCTCAAACGTTCCATAGGTTCATCGACCACTTCTGACGTGGCCTACCCTTTGTGTACGCCTACATTGATGACCTCTTGGTGGCCATCCGGGATGAGGAAGAACACAAAGAGCATCCGGCCTTGGTGTTTGACCGCCTTGACAAGTTTGGCGTTGTCATCAACCCCTCCAAGTGCGCGCTGGGTGTGCCTTCGCTCGAGTTCCTCGGTCATCAGGTCGACTCTGAAGGTTTGCGTCCCCTCCCCTCCAAGGTTGCAGCAATTCGTACTTTCCCTCCACTAACTTCCAAGCGTCAGTTGCAGCGATTCCTCGGCATGGTCAGTTTTTATCGTCGATTCCTGCCGAACTGTGCTGACCTCATGCTGCCGCTCACCAACATGTTTTCTGATTCCAAAGGCCCCCTCGATCTGACTGGTGAAGCACTGACCGCCTTTGAGGGAATCAAGAATTCCCTTGCCGATGCCACCTTACTCACGCATCTCGCTCCCGAAGCTCAGCTGTCCCTGATGGTAGATGCTTCGACCGTAGCCGTAGGTGCAGCCTTTCAACAACACCTTGCTGGTCCGACTCGACTACTTGCCTTTTTCTCCAAAAAGCTCTTACCAGCTGAGACACGCTGCAGTACCTTTGGCCGTGAACTACCTGCCATCTACCTGGCTGTGAAGCATTTCCGACATTTCCTTGAAGGTCGAGACCTCACTCTTTTCACGGACCACAAACCGTTGACTTTTGCACTTCGGTCCCACTCCGACAAGTGCAATCCGAGGGAAATCGCTCATCTGGACTATATCTCCCAATTCACCACCGACATCCGCCACATTGATGACACGAAGAATGAGGTGGCTGATATGCTGTCAAGGCCCTCACTGTCTTCCCTCCAACCCTCACTCGGGATCGATATTTGCGCCATGGCGGTCGAGCAACAGCGAGTCGATTGTCCTGGCGAAGAGCCTGTTAGTGTAAAGAAGATGAAGATCCGATCTCAGGGACAGTGGGTTTATTAGTCTGAGCTTTCGGTCTCGTACAGGAGGCCATCGTCTGTTAGTGGTCTTCAACTGAAAGGCGTTCCTCTGACCATCGGCTCTGGTACCATACTTTGTGACATCTCGACTCCTTTTCATCGCCCTTTCGAGCCCGCCTCGATGTGTCAGGCTGTATTTCAAACTTTGCATGGGCTCTCCCACCCTGGGATCCGAGCCTCTCAAAAGTTCCTCGCGGAAAGATTTGTTTGGTCTGGCATGAACAATGACGTCAAAGCTTGGGCCCGGTCGTGTCTGAACTCCTAGCGCAACAAGGTGCAACGTCACTACAAGTCCCCACCAGGCACTTTCCCCAGTCCCGACGCACGGTTCAGCCATGTGCACCTGGATGTCTTAGGCCCCTTGCCTCCATCCAATGGTTTCACTCACCTCCTTACCTGCGTCGATCGATATACCCGCTGGACTGAGGCCATTCCTTTGCCGAATGTGCAGGCTGAAACCATCGCGAAGGTCTTCGTCAGTCGTTGGGTCGCCATGTTCGGTGCCCCATCCACGGTTACGACTGATCGTGGTGCCCAGTTTGAGTCGACCCTCTTCCAAACGCTACTGAATTTCCTTGGTTGCACACGCATTCGGACGACAACCTACCACCCACCTGCCGACGGTATGGTTGAGCGTTTCCATCGCCAGCCAAAGACCGCCCTGCGTGCCGTAGAAGATCCAGGAAACTGGTCGGACAACCTTCCTCTCGCACTCCTCGGCATCCGCGCAGCTCTGAAGTCGGATCTGGGCTGTAGCGCAGCTGCATTGGTTTTCGGCACTACCCTCCGACTGCCAGGTGAGATGGTCACCCCAACCTCTCTTGGAGTCGACAAGACTCCTGACGACCTTGTGCACCGTTTGCGTCAATTTATGCGCTCGCTTTCCTCAGTTCCACCTCGGACTCCAATGACTGAGTCTTACGTCGAAAAAGACTTGGACAATTGTACTCGTGTGTTCGTCCGGTGTGGCCGTGTGCGCCAGCCGCTGGAATCACCATACGAAGGACCGTTCCGCGTGCTCGCACGCAACGCCAAAACCTGCCGGATTCTTCGCGGTGACGGGGAGGACGTGGTCAGTGTCGACCGGGTCAAGGCTGCTGTTGCAGAGGAGTCGCCGGACCTGTCACAAGGACAAAAATGTGCTGACCCCCTAACCCCTGTTCCTCCATCTTCCCTATCCCCTGATCGTTTACCCTGCGCACTGCCTCGCCCTTCCCCTCCCTGGCCCTCTACCCCTCCGTCCCGCAAACTTCCTCTCCCTACATGTCTGCAGCATCCAACTGCAACATCATTCTCCACCACAGCACGCAGTCAACCCTCTTCGACGGCACCTCCTGCTTTCATCACTCGCGGTGGCCGTCACGTTCATTTCCCCGATCGTTTAGTTGCGCATTTTTCTAGGCTTATGCATATCCTCCGGCGCCGTATTACATCGTCCTCCGTTCTAGTATGGGGGTACTTTGGTGAGGTACCTGACTAACATACCTTTGGCAATTTAGTCCCATTTTCTTTGACCGGATTGCTTGTTTGAATGTGACGAAAAAACAACATACCTGTACAACCCCCCTTGCTGGCCTGCTTTGCTGTCGCGCTCTGTTGTCAGGTTACTTAACGTTCAGAATATCTATATTATTCACTGCTCAGTTTTACTTGCTGTCTTCCAGGCAGAAGGCTCGTGAGATATAACTCGTTATTTCGCGAGGACATTACTATTCACGTCAGATCCAAGGGTAAGCAGACCGCAACAAATGGAAGAACTTCTTATCCGCGATCAAAGCTGTCTACTGTCTGCCCACCAAAGGTACTGCACCTCTTCTCAGCGCCGACGGAAGAGCCCTACTCTGCGAAAAGACACAAATTCTACGGCGATGGACCGAGCACTTCCGAGGCGTCCTCAACCGTCTTTCCACCATCCTTGACGCCGCCGTCGCCGTCGCCCGTCTGCTGCAAGTGGAGACCAACGTCGACCTCGACCTGCCGCCCTTTCTCCACGAAACCATCTGGACCGTGCAGCAGCTCTCCAGCGTGAAAACGCCCGGATTGGACGCGATCCCTGCTGAGATCTACAAGCGCGGTGGCCCCCAACTCATGGATCACCTGGCTGCGCTCTCCCAGGAGATGTGTTGTCAAGGAAAGGTCGCGCAGGATTTCTAGGACGCCAAGATCGTCCATCTCTATAAGCGGAAAGGTTATCGCCAGCTCTGTGACAATCATCGAGGCATCTCCTTACTGAACGTCGCCAGGAAAATCTTCTTTCGCGTCCTTCTCAACCGCCTGAACAGCCATCTGGGGCAGGGTCTCCTGCCGGAAAGTCGGTGCATATTCCGCCGTCATCGTGGGACCACCGACATGATCTCTGCCGCCTGTCAACTGCAGGAGAAGTGTCGGGACGGGCGGACCCGTCTGTTATCTACCTTCGTGGATTTGACGAAAGCATTCTACAAGGTAAATTGCAAGGAACTGTGAAAAATCATGCGGAAATTCGGCTGTCCCGGACGATTCACGTACATGGTGCGTCAGCCCCACGGTGGCATGATGGCGCGTCATGGACAGTAGAGCTGCGTAGAGGCATTCGCAATGACCAACGCAATGAAGCAGGACTGCGTCCTCGCGCCTACCCTCTTCCGCCTCATGTTCTCTGCCATGATGATGGACGCCTATCGTGATGAACGCCACGGGAACCGCATCGCCTACAGGACGGACGGCCACCTGCTCAACCACAGGCGGATGCACTTCCAGTCGCGTATATCCACAATCACCGTCCACGAACTTCTCTTCGTCAATGACTGTGCCCTCAACGTTACCTTGGAGGGAGACATGCAAAGGAGTATGAACATCTTCGCCGCTGTCTGCAAGAACTTCGGCCTGATCATCAACACGGAGAAGACGGTGGTTATGCACCAACCGCCACCCAACGCTGCCCACATTGTGCCGCATATCAGCGTGAACGGAACTCAACTGCATGTGGTAGACAACTTCGCGTATGGGCAGCACCTTCTCCAGCGCCACCAAAATCGACGACGAAGTTGCTCGCCGCATTTCCAAGGCCAGCCATGCCTTCAATCGTCTGTAGAACACCGTCTGGAACCGTCACGGACTTCAGCTCAGCACGAAACTGAACATGTACAAGGCGGTCATCCTACCAACACTACTGTATGGAGCGGAGACCTGGACTGTGTACATGAAGCAGGTACGCAGACTCAACCAATTCAACTTCAGTTTTATTCGACGGATGCTGAAGCTTAGGTGGTAGGATCGGATTTCCGACACGGACATACTGGAGCGGACGGGAATCTTCAGCATCTACGCCATGCTTACACAACTGCATCTACGCTAGACCGGCCATCTCGTGCGGATGGACAATGAGCGGCTACTTAAACGAGTCTTCTATGGAGATGTCGCCACGGGTTACTGTTGTCAAGGGAGCCAAATCCGTCAATACAAGGACACACTGAAGACTCCCTTAGAGCCTACGCAGATCAACCCGGCCAACTGTTGAGACCTCGCCCGAAACCAACCGACCTGAAGGAGGGCAGTGATGACAGGTTGAGCGATTTACGAGGCGACCCGTATCGCCGCCGCGAAAGCCAAACGAGAAGCACGCAAATCTCAGCTGCGCTCCCCTCACAACGCCAACGCCCAATCGCGTCCAAGGTGTCCACGGTGTCAGCGGACATTCTGAGTGCCAGTTGGACGTGTTGGACCCCTTCAGACCAACTGCAGCACTCGGACTGCGCCAACCATCATCTCTCCGTCCACCTCTCCCTCACCTTCTACGCCGTTAACTAACTCTGACCGTCCTTCCGAACCACCACTTCCATCCTCCTCCTCCTTCTTCACCACCACCACCACCACCACCACCACCACCACCACCACCGCCTCAGCGTCTACCGCTGTGACGCCTACCACTCCCGTCAACACTACACACAATCCTGACATACCGACAAACACCAACGCCACACCGTTGACACCAGTGGTGAGGACCTGGTTTATACCTGTCCTCATTGCGTCCGCATCTTCACCTCACACATTGGCCTGGTCAGTCACTTGCGAGTCCATCGCAGAGACTGGCGAACCAGTGCCTGGAGCACCATCCTACACATGCCGCATCTGCCTCCACTGTCCAAATTACACTCGCACATTTATTCACCACAAGGGTCTATTAGGTTACATACGCGTCCACGAAAACCTGCGGTAGAAAACTGCCGGCTAAATCACACCACTAAATTCTCCCTCACCAGCATCTTACCGCCCCGCAACACCACCCACCGCAAGCACCCAACTGCCATCTCTCACGCAAGTGGGGAGTGTGCGTGTCGGCTCCTTCTCTATGCGGCTTCTATCCTGCATGTGTGGTCGGAGTCTTAGACGCTGCGTCGAGCGCCGTGGCTCGGAAGGCCGACGACTGACGCTCCAACTCTGTCCACACAGTCTTCCCAGTTGTCGTGTGCGTTGTGTGGAGTGGCGGACTGGTGGGCTGAGAGACAGGCTGTCACGGCTCCATCTCAAGTGATCTGGAACACTCTCATGCATGTGAGGAGTTTGTGTGCTTTATGGTTAATGCCACTCAGTCGACGATTATTTGGTTACCCAACCTTGAACTAATTCACGCGCAAGTCACCGTCCCTGCTCCGCGTTGCTGCGGAGCACACGGTGGACATCGCCGGCAACTATATTCGACCTCTCGGTAATTGCGATGCTTGATGCACCTCGGGTCTACACTTAAATGGGCTCACACCGGTGGAGAGTACAACATCAGTATGCACTGCTTTCAACGCTGCAACCATGCTGCAACCACTTTCGTCCACTGATCCTATCTTCCCCTGCGCGCAGTTTTAGGGGATGAACGCGTAGATTTTTCGAGTTAGCTTGATTGAAATAATCGCTAAGAACCAAGCAACAGTCTAGGCCGCTTAACATGCGGAAGGTTAGTATAAGATCACTGCGTAGCTGCCTGTAGGAAGGTGGAAACAGATTGAGAGTTGACAGTCTGCTCCTAGACTTTTTTTCATTTTTGCCGTCCGTCTCTGGACCTTCTTTAATACAGTATAGCCTATGACAGTCCAGGGTCTCCGTACCTGTATGGCGTATTCTAGATGGTGCCGCACGAATGAACACAATATTTTGAAAAAACTGCCCTTGCCAAATTCTATGAAGACTCGCCTAATGAGTCGTAATGTTGCCATGGCCGACTTAGCTGCCTTCGCCCGTTTCAGTGTTGGTTTGAATAAAAATGTAATTTACACACCCAAGTCCTTCTGACCGTCAGCTTGTTGCAGTGGTGTGCCGTGAAGAAAGTAGGCCCTATGACTGAAGGCTCTGCAGCTGCCGGGTTGAAGGAAGTTGCACTTACCTACACTGAAGGACAAACAGTGAGTGACCGATCTCATGAAATGTTGACCGAAATTCTGAAATGCGTTTCCGACTAGGAAGGATTACTTAGGTACGGTTACAATATTGATTTACATGCGGCAAAATTTTATAATGTTTCGGACTCGTCAGGATGCCGGCTTTTGAGTGCACTCCGTTTTGACCTCCTGTAGAAACCGCGCTCGGAATATAAATAGGTTTTGAAAAAGTTTCTAATTATGAGATTATTAAGGCCGTGCAATGTCCATTCATAAAGCCTCGCACATGTCCGCTTGCCAATGCTTCTCATGAAATGTAGAGTATGGTCGGAATCCATTGCAATATTTCCTTAACTCTACATGGTATATTTTTAAAGGCACAGAGGAATATATGATTTTCCTTACGCCAAAAGCAAGCACCTTGTAAACTGAAATCGCCGAAGGCTAATACTACGGTCGATCAACCTCTAAATTATTTGACTATTGAGAAAATTTTTCAAAACCTACATATACCCTTCCTTCAGGTATAAAATGTAAAGATAACGTGATTTTCCACCAAACGAGTAAAAGAAATAATATTTGTATGCATGTTTTCTATAAAATATATTTGAATTTATAAGACCATCAAAAGTCAGAGTGATAAATGCATGTTACTTAAGTAGCCATTTCTTACCGAGCGTGGTTTCTACAGGGGGTCGAAAAGGAGTGCACTCAAAAGCCGACATCCTGACGAGTCCGAAACATTATAAAAGTATGCCGCATGGTAATCAATATTGTAACCGTGCCTAAGTAATCCTTCCTAGTCGGAAACGCATTTCCGAATTTCGGTCAATATTTCATGAGATCGGTTACTCACTGTAAACCAGCTCTTCAACGAGTCCTCGAGCCTGTTCAAGTTTGTTTGTAGGTGGTCTCCATCTGTCGCATTGCAAATAACTTTCCACAATTTTATATCTTCAGCAAACAGGATGGCATCACAGTTTAGGTCCTTGACGCAGCCATTCATGAGTCCTGTGGAACGCTACTCACCACGCTTACCTCTGAGGACTGTTGGCGCCCGACCTACAGTCTTTGGAACCGTCCAGTCAAAAAGCTCTGTATTCATACAAGGAGTCGTCCACGCATTCCTGCGTTGCGCAGTTTATGCAGGAGACGTTAGTAAAGAATGTCGTCGAAGGCCTTTTTGAAGCCGATGTTGATGACGTGCACCGTATTACTTTCGTCGCCTACTTTGGTCCAACGTTCGAGTGAAAAATGCGGACTCGTGAGACACTACCTACCACTTTGAAAGCCATGTTGGGAGGTGGTGGTGCTGAACGAGGAAGTGTATCAACGCTTTCTTAAAGATTTTCTCCCTAATTTTGCAACAGATGGAGGTAAGAATCACTGGCAAACGGACGACTTCCACCCTTAAGAAGCGGAGTGATGGTAGCAGACTTACAATCGGAGGGTTGGCACCCAGTAGCAAATGACGTTTGGGAGAGTATGGCTAACGCTTCGGACGTTTCGGGAGCTAGCTTCTTCAGCAGCTTCGTCGGGATTGCACCAGGGCCTGAAGAGGTCGATTGCTTCAGGTTTAGCAATTCTTTCTGAACGATTGCTTAGGCGAGCAAGACTTTTCCGATGGCAGGCGTTTCTTCGGTTTCACAAGTGAGTGGGAAAAAATGGGATCACTTGTCACGACGGACCGGAAGAGCTAAGAGAGATGTTCAGCCTTATCCTTGTCATTTGAGATTTCCAAATCCTTAACCGTTCGCAGCAGTGGGACGAGACCTTTTGTTCTGCGCGCCCTGCCCCATGTAACTGTGAAGGCCTTTGGAATTAGCCATGGTACGGGTCAAAAGATCCTTTTCGAAGACTTGCCGATTTCTGGCGATGAGAATTTTGAGCCGGTTTCTCTGTAGCTTATAACTGTTTAGGGATTCATGCATTTGGGCAATGAGGAATCTTTTCCATAGCTTCCTCTTCTTTTTAACTTCCTTCCGTGGGGACGGAGTCAATCAGCGGGGTCTATTCGTTGATCTTTTGCGCGTAATTGGACAGCGTTTGGAGATGAGGCTGTGGACCGTCTCCTTGAGCTGACACCAAACCTCTTTGATGTTGCCGGAGAGTGTCAACCGAGAGAGCTGGCCCATGTAACTCCCAGCCATCTTTTACGTGCGATGCGTATGCTTGTTCAAAATACCCTCCTGAGTTGGGAATGCGGTAAAATATCATTTACTGACAAGTGGTTAGTGTTTCACTCATAACGTTGCGCTGCGGCTGGGACTAGGGATAATTGAGACGAAAATTATGCAATTTTATAGTACATTTTCAGTCTTGCCTGGACGGCCGTAAGCTGCAAAACTTGCTTCACGCACATTCGATGACCTTACAGATATCCTTAAAATTATTTCCAGATTTGTTAACAATCTCTGCTAACCCTCTAAATTCAGAAAGAAACTGTCTACATGCTAGAAGCTCGCCTGCTTTTTTTATCTATAGGACAACTGTTGACAGCGATGTGAAAAGTAGTTGCAAACGGACTGTAAGTTGCACTTTTATGGAAAAATATTTAAGTTCAGCAGCGAAAAGGAGGTCATCGTCTCCAGAACAGGTAGTCTCCAACATTGACTAAGATAGTTGTGCACAGTATGCAGGAGTTGCTGAGTAGTTAGTGGTCTAAAATTACCTTCAGTTTTCAACAAATCGCTGAGAAAAATATTAAGCTAGTATGTCTACTAGACTGAGATCTCACAAATGAAATATCAATAAACCTTTCCGAATCGTTAAGTGGAGGAAATTATTGTCGTTTAAGAGCAACAAAAACACTTAAATTGAGCTACGATTACTCTAAACAATTTCAGTGAAAAAATCGGCTTCTTATGTTTTGCTTATCTCGCGAAAATATATTACTTATGATTGGCTACTTAAGTTCCTCTAGGGGGAGTAACGTCCAAATATACTGTAAGAATGTGAACAGAATTACTCCCGTTCTGGCCATCGACTCCAGGTTTGGGCTTGAACAGAAACCGAAAACATCCTCACATAACGCATGATGTAGGTCGTATTTGAAACAAGTAAACCACAGTTAAACAGTTCTGCCACTCCCGAGCATTTAGGGAAAACCCACAATGACAGCGTTTATGAGCACCAAGACGGAGAGGTGTAATTAATATTTAATTTTCTGAAGGAATTACAACCGGGATCTTATGTTCTCAAAAACAGCAGGAAAGTATGAATCTGAGGCGATCTGACCTACGTCTAGGTGGTATCAAACAGAAAGCGTCCGTCTCAAATCATGAAACGTGAACCGGATTTTCTGAAACATCGTTAAATGGCGATTACTTAGGAATGTTCTCCACGCTGTTTAGCAGAAATCAAAATCACATGTAAATTCCTTCACGCTGACTTTTGAAGGAGCATTCTTCCAGCTACCATCGTCAACTCAGTCCACACTTGCTACTCCGTTTTCTTCCTGGACTTTCGGTACCTTCATAACTCTGACTATATTTCTTTGAAACCATCCCCCACTAACCCATGTGTATACCCTGTTTGCAGGACGTCGGTCTTCTTTACGCAATGAAGAAAGAAAATGCCGTTTATACGGGACAACCATTAACAGACGCCGCCGTTTGTCACCCACCAGAAAAATGACAGAACGTTCGGACTGACTTACTCATCGCTTACGTCTATCTAACAGAAATCAACAATATGCTGACAACTGGAGTGTTCTCCTGAAGTTGAAGTTTGACGTCGAATAGAGTTCGTGGACCCGAAAATGTTATCTGGGGAAAATATGCAAAAGGTGCTATCAGCAAAAGATCTGCATTGGAGGCCTTCGTCAGAATGAACGGGATGAAGCAAGTCC